GAGGCACAGAAAAACTTGAGTACCTTATTTTTAAATCGCATTAGGATTAAAAGGTTAGCCTGTATATCCAAATATTGGTCGGTGATCCCATTTCTAAAACTCTGAAATCCAAAAAGCTCAGAAAACCAAGTTATTTTTCCAAATATTTTCATTGTGGTAAAATACACAAATATAAAATTTACCATCTTACCCACTTTTAAGTGTGTTATAAATACATTCATGCTGCCCTCACTAGCATCCATCTCCAGAACTCTGCATCTTGCAAATCTGCAATTCTATACCCATTAAACCACGACCCATTCCCCCTTCCCCTCAGCCTCTGGCAACCACTGTTTTTGTTTTTGTTTTTTAAGTAAGTTTGACATTGAAACTAAGTTGGGAGCCAAACCTGACCCAAATATGAGCTGGGCATGGTGGCTTACACCTGTAATCCCAGCACTTTGGGAGGCTGAGGCAGGAGGATCACTGGAGCCCAGGAGTGTGAGACCAGCTTGGGCAACATGGTGAAACCCTATCTCTACAAAACATATAAAAATTAGCCAGGTGTGGTGGCACACACCTGTAGTCCCAGGTTCTCAGGAGGCTTAGGTGGGGAGGATCGCTTGAGCACAGGAGGCAGAGATTGCAGTGAGCCAAGAAAAAAAACCTGACCCAAAAAGGGAGGCAATTAATTTTACTCCCTGTTTAATCTCACTTGGAATGTATAAAGCATATCCATATATTTCACTGCAGACATTTTAATGTATTTAATTACTGTGTGCTGTGCCACACCCCACTGGGAATATAGGATAATGGATAGTACTATTACCTTTAACTAACAAACACTTTCTGAATTCTGAAATATATGACCTCTAGAATTTTGGTTAGGGATTGTGAGGCTTGTACTACACTAGAAGTTACTATTATTATTTTTTATTCTGTTTCAGTTTAGTTATATTTAATAAACTTAACATATGAAAATTCATATTTACAAAATGTAAATTAAGGAGTGACTACTCACTATTTAACATGTAGACATTAACTTAAACCCCATTTGCAGAAAGGGAGCCCTGGGTCTCATCTTACCCTATAGAAGATTACGCAGATCTTCTGTCTAATCTTCTCAAAGGAGCAAACATCAAGGCCTGGGGAGGGGCACGCAGCTGCTTAGGGTTTGGACATGGGTTTGTTAAACAGATTTTCAACTGCTCTTCTGGTGAAGAGCTCTACCTCCAAACCTTCCAGTTTCTGAGATTTAGGGTTTATGCTGGGTAATTTGTTTCTTGGCTGTCTATAAATCAGAGGAATGTTCCCCCCCCCCAAAATCAATTAATACTTGGCCTTTTGCTTTGCAGTTTCCAAAATTTTGTTGCTGTGATCTTCTCTCTCTCTCCTTTATGCTTAAAACATAGTAACAAAACAACCACTCCTGCTAAAAAAAAGAAACAAACCAAACCAACCCCCTTTACATTCTAGTAGGGTTTCAAAGAGGAAGTAGAAATTGAATACTTGTGTTTGATCTTTATTGGGAATTTAGTGCTGTATTTAAGATAGCTCAGTGTTTTCCTCTTGTTCATTTTGTACAGCTTTCTGTTTATCTTTCTCCACTAGACTGTGGTCTCTTTCAGACAGACAACAATGGTCTTAAGCATTTGTTGAGCTCTGCAGTCCCCTAGAGGCTTTATTAAATTAGACTTGCCTCTGGCCCCAGATAGGAGGGTTTCAGGGTAGATCTCACTCGTTTAGGGTGTGAAGCACAGACAGCTGGGGAAGAACCTTGGCATCTGGCAAATTCTTGCTTTCTTGGGGGCCTTCCACAGCAAAGCATTTGTGGCTTTCTAGTGAATATAATAGAATCCGCACCATCATGGTGATACCCAAGAGTAACATTTGACAATGGGTGGTGTGGGCAAGACCAGTTCTGGAGCACTTTTATGCTGTACTGATGCATGCCACCTGAACAGCCACCCAGGCTTCTACCTGTGTTCGAAAAAGCCCCCAGCTCTCTCCAGCCCCTGCCCTCATGACTTTGCTCCAATTTCCAGAATGGAGCAGTAGAGAAATGGGTTGGGCTCCTCTCCTCCCTCCCAGATTCCCTTCCTGAAGCTCAAACTGAGTGTCCCTGTGCACAGTGGCAAATATTAGGTACTGTGGAAATAGGATACCCGGTCCTCCCCTTGGGGGAGGAGTCTGACACCAAAAAGAGGGATGGAACCCAGAAAGCAGTGGGGGGACAGGGTGACCAAAGTCAGCCTCATCCAGGGAATATTTCTGTGTTGGAAATATCCAGACTTATCCAAGGCCATCAGAGCCCTGGACATTTTCCCCTACCAATTTGGCTAAGCTGACATCTTTCCCATTGCTTTTCTTCCCTGGTCCCCCTTCCCCTAGCCTCTTTCTGCTTCCCAACGCCTCTATCAGGCTTCAAGGGTAAGGACAAGGGAAGAGCCAGGAAGGAGGCAGTGTTAGGGGAGGGGGAGACAGAGTCTCCTTTGACTGGCTGGATCCTGCATTTCCATCGGAATCCGGCAGAAGGTCTTAAACAGATCAGAAGCCCGTCATAGAAATGGCTAAGTAGGCAGAGATGGATTTCTTTCCTGTCCTCTCAATTCACATATCGCTTATATATACGTAACACGATGAGTAAATACGTATATAAAACTCATTTACATTTTTGAGTATATTTTTAAAAATCAGAAAAACGTCTTTCTGGACATAGGACTAGGAGCTTGGGAAAGCTCCTACTATAATATTTATCATGGTTCTATTATGTTAAAAGGTCTTTGGTTATACTGTGTTGGAAGCTTCATCTTAGTTTACTTTCTGCTATTTTGGCATCCCTGGGCAGGAGAACCTGGAGCTGATAGATTTTTTTTTTTTTTAATATACAAAGCCTTGCTCTGTTGCCCAGGCTGGAGTGCAGTGGTACAATCATAACTCACTGCAGCCTGGAATTCCTGAGCTCAAATGATCCTCCCATCTCAGCCTCTCCAGTCTGGGATCACAGGTGTGTGCCACAATGCCTGACTAATGTTTAACTTTTTAAAATAGAGATGGGGTTGTGATGGTTAATATTGAGTGTTAACTTGATTAGATTGAAGGATGCAAAGAATTATCCTGAGTGTATCCGTGAGGATGATACCAAAGGATATTAACATTTGAGTCAGTGAGCTGGGAAAGGCAGACCCATCCTTAATCTGGGGGGGCACCATCTAATCAGGCTACCAACATGGCCAGTATATAAAGCAGGCAGAAAAATGTGAAAAAGCTAGAAGCGCTTAGCCTTCCAGCCTACATCTTTTTCCTGCACTGGATGCTTCCTGCCCTTGAACATCAGACTCCAAGTTCTTCAGTTTTGGGACTCGGACTGGCTGGCTGTCCTTGCTCCTCAGCTTGCAGCTGGCCTATTGTGGGACCTTGTGATCATGTGAGTTAATACTACCTACTAATCCCCTTTATATATATGTCTTCTATTAGTTCTGTCCCTCCAGAGAATCCTAATATAGGAGTCTTGCTGTGTTGCCCAGGCGGGTCACAAACTCCTGGCCTCAAGTGATTCTCCTGCCACAGCCTCCCAAGCTTCTGGGATTACAGACCTGAACCACCATGCCCGGCCACTGATTGATTGCTAAGCATTCCAAGTCCAGGGTTATTTGGAGCTCTAGGTTTGTGGGTTACATTCTCAGTCACATCTTCTTACTTCTCCACATCTTGTTAAACAGTGATAGTTACAAGAACATTTGAATGTTTCTTCATTTGCCAAAAATGGTGTTTATACGATTGTTTTATGTCCATCATGGTAATGGTTTCTAGTGCAGCAAAATGAGGTCGGGCTGGCTCTATGTTACTCCTTTATATTATCACTATCACTCAGCCTTAATTTTTAGTAAATCCCAAACTCAAGGTTATCTGCTAAGAAAATAGTTTAGGTTCATACACAATTATCAAGCACCTTCTGAATGTCAGGCACTGTGTTAGACCCTGGGCTGACAAGGATAAATAAGACACTATCCCTTCCCTCTCACTGCCTCTAGTGAGAGGAAACAGATACCCAAACAGTTTACTTTAAACTGTGATTTTGAGGAATACATTGGGGAAAACAGAGCTTGTTGACCAGTTAAATGTCAACTAAAGAAAAGTGAAAGGAAAGCATCTAGGATGGTTTCCAGGTACTGCTGACCATGTTCTCCTGTTTGAAACTCCCTCCCTGGGCTTTTACACCTCTTTCAGTGTTCCGTTTTCTTGCCGATCATTCAATTGTTCTCTCCTTTGCTAGATCCACTTGAGGGCACGGTGCTTAAATGCTGCTGTCCTCGGGACCCCTTCCTCAGCTGTCTGCTCTCTTCTCTATCTCCTCATAGGGGCAAGGATTTCCAAAGTCTGAGCTCAGCCCTCTCTCCTAAGGAGCACACTCATGTTTCCTGGCATCTGTGACAGCTCCACTTGCCACAAGCCCTGTGTCAAACCCTCTACCCACAAAGCTGCATGTCTGCGGCTGCTGCCTGGGACCTCTTAACAGAGGGAAATGGAAGTGGATGCATGCTTATGCAGCCCTGTCTGATAGGAATATAATGCCACCCACATATGTAACTTTAACTCTCTAGTAGCCACAATAAAAGATAAAAATAAATGAAATTAATTCTAATAACATATTAACTCAATATACCCAGCATATCATTTCAATGTAGAACCAATGTAAAAAAAAATTTTTTTTTTTTTGAGACAGTTTCACTCTTGCTACCCAGGCTGGAGTGCAATGGCGTGATCTTGGCTCACTGCAACCTCCACCTCCTGGGTTCAAGCAATTCTCCTGCCTCAGCCTCCCGAGTACCTGGGACTATAGGCACGCACCACCATGCCCAGCTAATTTTTGTATTTTTAGTAGAGATGGGGTTTCACTACGTTTGACCAGGATGGTCTTGATCTCTTGACCTTGTGATCCACCTGCCTCGGCCTCCCAAAGTGCTGGGATTATAGGCATGAGCCACCGGGCCCGGCCAATGTAAAAAATTTTTAATGAAATATTTTTTTCATATTGAATCTTCAAAATTCAATGTGTATTTTTTAAATTTACTTTATGTTTTTTAGGAGACAGGGTCTTGCTCTGTTGCCCACGCTCAAGTACAGTGCCGGCATAGCTCACTGCAGCCTCAAACTCCCTGGCTCAGGTGATCCTCCCACTTCAGCCCCCTGAGGAGCTAGGACTACAGGCACACACCACCATACTTGGTTAATTTTTGAATTTTTGGTAGAGACAGGGTCTCACCATGTCGCCCAGGCTTGTCTCAAACCTGTGGCCTCAAGTGATCCTCCTGCGTTCGCTTCCCAATGTGCTGGGATTACAGATGTGAGCCACTGCACAGGGCACAGCATGTTTGCAGTAGCCACATGTCAAGTGCTCACTAGCCACATGTGACCAGTGGCCCCCATATTAGCCAGTGCAGTTTAAAATGAAAAAGGTAGCCTGTGAGGCTGGGCGAAACACTCCTGTGAGTATGATAGGAGACAGAGATTGTGGCACTATGTTTATGATTCATGTGTATTTTCTGTTCCTTATGGATTCTCTCCTAATATTTAGAGGTCTTTGAAATTCCATTCTTTCTTAGCAGTGCAGAGAAGAATGAATCAAGTATTCTTCTTCCATGCTGGGAAGGGAGTTTCAAGGGAGAGCTGCTCATCTCCACTCCATCCTACACCACCCTTAGAGGGAAATCCCAAGGGGAAGGGGAAGTTCTCAGCACAGAGCCCCTCCCTACTTGGATAGTCCCTTCCTAAAAGCTAACTAAAATCTCTGGATTTTGGTTTAGAAGGAAATCACACTTTTTTCATAGTTTCTTTTCAAAATTTTAGTATCTTAGCTGCCAGAAATAGAATTTATTACTTTACAATAATTATTATAGCCAAAGCCACGGTATATTCTGGATTTCCCAGGATGGTGTCAATTTGAATACAGTTTCTTTCAGGCAGGCATGGTGAATTTTGGTTCAGAAAATAGGATCACTCCATCATGCTCTTGAGGGCGAACTATTGGAGAGTCACTATGGTGATCAACCAATGGGTGCTCCTAGTTCCTGGAACTGAAAACTTCAGTCTGGATACTTCTCTATAAATGGTTTCAGTAGTCTCTGCCACTTTTCCCAGGGATCTGAAAGAGTTCTCCAAGAAGCCCCCACTTCTCAGGTGGCAACCGGGCAGGTGCCTGGGCGGTAGTCCTTATGCTACGGTTCATAAATCAGTCTGAGTTTTATGCGTGCTTGTTCTGAGGAAGAGATTTAAAGTTATGTAGAGGCAACAAAGCTTTCTAATAATATTTTTGGCAGGCTACTAAAGGAAGATGAAATACGAAAAGATACAGGCCCTGGAGAATGGTGGTGGCCCTTGGGATGCCAGCCAGATGTTGGTGCTCAGAAATCGGGGGAGACAATGGCCTTTACTGTTACCATTTACAACCCCGGGCGTGCTCATTAATCATCAACTAAAATGAGTTCACTTTCAGGGTCTAGGCAGGTCGGGGCTGGGGTTGGGGAAGGCTGAGGCAGGAGGCCAGGCTTCCAGGCCGGAAAAGTGTCCCAGAGACCCACTAGACTGGGGCCTCCTCCCCTCTGTCAGGGCGAAGGGCACCAGGAGGCATCAGGAGGCATTAGGAGGCAGAGCGGGGGTCGAGGTGGGGGTGGGTGCGTCACCCTTGTTTTCAGGGCTGTCAGTCTCCCAGCGTCCCCAGTTTTCCAGGTAGGGACGCCCCCTCCCAGGCAGCGCGGTTCCGGCGGGTGAGAAGGAGGGGCTGGGCTCCCAGCGCCCGCCCCTCTATCCATCACATGGCCGGAGAGTCACAAAAACAACAGCTTTGGTCAAGACCGTGACTTCAGGAAAGGGAACCCGGGGCTCTCGCAGCCAGCCCTCCTGCCCATGGAGGACAGTTTTCTTGAATCTTTTGGGAGGCTGAGCCTCCAGCAGCAGCAGCAGCGGCAGCGGCAGCCGCCGCCCCGGCCGCCCCCGCGGGGGACACCTCCGCGCCGCCACAGCTTTAGGAAACACCTCTACCTCCTGCGAGGCCTCCCGGGCTCCGGGAAAACCACACTGGCCAGGTAATAACAGCGGCCTGGGCGCCGGCGCAAGGGCCCGGGGCCACCAAGCGCCCCGGCCGAGCGCACCCCTGCCCCAAGCCGCTCCCGGCCGCCGCTTGCGCCCCCGCCGCGGGCGCCTGCCCCAGACCCGGTCCCGGCCTGAGCCTGGCAGCGCGGGAGCCCGAGCTGCCTCCCTCGCCCCCTGGGGCCGCTGCCACCCCTGGTGGCGCGGGCGCGGAGAGGAGGGCGCTCGTCCTGTTTGTTTCCCGCCGCTCTGTCCCAGGAGGACGGATTCCGGCACTGCGCCTAGCGCAAGCCCCGGCGGCCCTGGCCCCTTCCCCGCCGCGGTGCCCCGCCTGGGCCGAGGCAGCCTTCGCCGCCCCCAGCCTCCCCAGCCCCGGGTCGGGGAGGCCCGCAGGGACTCTTCTTCGGGAAAACCCCGTGGCTACTGCCAGGAAAACCGCTGGGCCCCTCTGGCGCGCAGGCGGCCGCCACAGTGCGTCAACAGGCGCTGTAACCAGAGTGGATAAATGAGGGGTCCGGGTCGGGGGCCCAGAGCAGCCATGGCTGTGGCTGTGGCTGTGGCTGTGGCCGTGGCCGTGGCCTGGGGCTGGTGGCCCTCTTTGAAAATCTGGCGGAGTCGGGCAGCCTGCGTTTGCTTTGGCAACTGCGAAAGCGCACAGGTGCACGGGGGAGGGGGGCTGGCGGCGCCACCACCGACACCGTCACTGATAGAGCCTCGCCATGGGCGCCCAAATTCGTTCACTTGCGAATTGCGTAAGCGGCCCTCCCTGTACCAGCCGCCGGGAATTACGCGGGCTTGTGCCTGCGGCCACCTTACTAGGCCCCACCGCTCCAGCCTGAACTCCCACCGTTCCCTGCCTTGCGCTTGATGTTCCAGCGACGTCGAACTGCTTATCTCCTGTAAACCAAGCTGCTTCTCTCCTTGACGCTGGCCTTCCTGCCTAGCTTGCCCTCCCGCCTTCTTTTGCCTTTTAAGACCGGGCAACTACCCCACCCCATCAGTAGATGCGCCTCTTCTGGGCTCCTTGGCTTCCTGTTTACACCTCCGTCACTGCGCTTGGTTTTGCACATGGTTTTGCTTATCCTTCTGTAAGTTTATTGAAGGTAGGGGCCATGTCTTACCCTGCCAAGCACATTGTCTGGCACGTAGTAGCTGTTCAATAGAAGAAGTGGTCCCTTTCCCTCAAAGAGCTTCCCGTCTCACTGAAGGGATGAGGCTAGCCATGGGACCAAGAAACTGTTGATTTGTGGAGTAGAAGCCTTTGGCCAGAGTATTGCTACATTTTCACAGACTATAGGGCCGTGTGACTTCTGGAGGACCCTGGGCGCCCTTTCCTAAACAGGCACACAGTTCAATAGACTCTCTGGCTCACTGGGGAAGGGAGGTAGAGGGCAGGGGCAGAGTCGGGGAGCCTCCTTGGAACCCAGCAGAAGTTGGTTATTTTGTGGTACTGTCATGGTGGGCAAATCTGTTACCAACCAAGTATCTTCTGAATGCCAAATCCTGTTTAATTTCACTTTCGCTTTGCTGATCTGTGGCCTGTCTCACACCGAGTGTCAAAAAGACGAGTATCAAAGAAGGAAGTAAACATCTTTGGCCGGATTTAATTTCTGACTGTGTTGGGAAGCGAAGTAACATGATGGGTGCAATATACACAGAATGGAACACGAGGGGTTTGGACTCACATTCCTCATCTGTGAAGCCAGGGCATTGCCTGAGTGGTCCTCAGGGTCCTTTCTGGCTCTAACATTCTACACTTTTAGGATTTTAATTCCCGATTGGCGTTGGCTAAGCAGAAGACACCGGATGAGAGACCAGCTATTACAGATCATCTCTGTCTCTCTAGGGACGACGGGAGTGAGCACTGGCCTGGGAGTCTAAAGATTGTGCCTTCAGACCTACTTTGTCACTTACTAGCTGGCGACTTTGGGCAATCATGTGGTTTTTCTGGGCCTTATGTGTTTTATATATGACTACTAAGAGGTTAGTAGATTAGAGGATATATTAAAGATCCTTCTGACTCTTAATTTCCAGATGTCAGATTAACAGTAGTTTGCTAATAATGGCTGTGTTAAAGAGCTCCGACCTTGGAGACAATTTATGGCTTCAAAGCTCTGCCACTCACTAGCTTTGCTTTTCACTCAACCCTTCTGTGCCTTGGTTTCCTTTTCTGTTAAATGGGGATATCTGCTCTGTTTGTCTCCGAGGGTTTTGTGAAGATTAAATGTGTGTGGGAGGACTTTTTAAACTTCACAGTGCTATATACATTTTAAGGGGTATTAGTTACTGTTTCCATTGTTGGTCAGCTGAGATAAATCTTCAGCGTTCCCTGGAGCCTGGCTCTGGAGTGAAGAAGGCAGCTTGGCAGTTGACTTTGAGACCTCCTCTTTCGCTGGGCATTGGCAGTTCTGGGAGCAGAGCAGCCTTGGCATGCCATAGGGTGGATTGTGTGTTTGTAGAAAAGTCTGGGAAGTAAGGAAACAGGCCATAACTTCAGCAGAAGGGAGGCCTGAGGTAAGGATGGAATGGTGGAGAGGCAGACTCAGGTGTGGCCCACCAGGAACTGCCTTCCCCACTTTTTTGTGGGGTGGGGTGGGGAAGAGGAAAAGGGCATATTATTTAAAAACATGTATAGAAAATAGTACAAACTTTAAGGTCATCTATGTGTTGTTGGATTCTGGGAAATTCACATTTTCTCTATTCTATGTATTTTCCCAATTTTCTATAATGAATATGTATTTCTTAAATCAGAATAATAACTTTTTTTTCTTTAAAATTTAGAGGAAATCTCTTTTTGCAAATGTGGGTTCATCTTTTTCTGCTTAACCTTTTTCTCATTTGATTAAAGAACTAATAAAAATTTTTTTGAAATTAGGGTATGTTTTGTCTCCCAAATCAATGTTAGATTTCTGTGATTTTTACTTATATGTTTTCATAGTTTGAAGTGGCTGAAATGTGGAAAAACATCTGTTTAAAGTATTTGAATTTATTTTTAAAACGTTGGAGTTTTAACTGGTGAAAAATTTTTTCAGCACATCAAAGTACTAAAAAATTAGCATGTTCCTAAATCTGTTTTATCACCCGTATTTCATTTAAAAAGCGTCTTAAAAATAGGTTCTTTTCATTGACCTATAAGCTCTACTTCCAGTAATTTATCCTAAGAAATAATTGGAGGCCAGGAGTGGTGGCTCACACCTATAATCCCAGCATTTTGGGAGGCTGAGGTGGGCAGATCACTTGAGGTCAGGAGTTCAAGACCAGCTTGGCCAACATGGCGAAACTCCATCTCTACTAAAACTACAAAAATCAGCTGGGCATGGTGGCACATATCTGTAATCCCAGCTACTTGGGAGGCTGAGGCAGGAGTATGGCTTGAGCCTGGGAGGCAGAGGCTGCAGTGAACTGAGATTGCAGCACTGCATTCCAACCTGGGTGACAGACCCTGTCTCAAAAATAAGAAAAAAGAAATGTGAGCCAGCTTATAACTACAAAAACAGAAGAATAGCTTATAAGTCATGCAGTCATTAATAGGAACATAGATGTATATTTGACATTCAAATATATTCACACTGCTCCTATTAAATTAAAAAAAGATACACACACATACACATTTCATTTTCTGTTCAAAGAAGGGGATCTACATATATTTGAAGAAAAACATGTGAAAAGATAGCTATCTATTGATAGTTGCTGACTTTAGATAGTGGGATTATGAACTTTCCCCTTGATTTATTTTCTAGTTTTTCTAGAACAAATATATATTACTTGTTAAGTGTTTAAAGATGAAAATAAAGTCACTATAAGTAAAAAGTTTTGTTAAATGATTCGGCTAGCAAGACCCAGTTTATGTGAAAAGCTTCTATTATGTCACTAAATAAAGATGTCATTTTCTAGATAAAAGGCTTTCCTAGTTACTGCTCAGGTGGACATACACTATGAAACGCTTATCCATGAGGAGGTGGATTTGATTAGCCTTAAATTTTGTTAATTTTGATTAATTTGTTAACCAGCATATGAATCAGCATAAATCCCTTGATTCTTCAATACCTCAGGTTTTTATTTAAATGAAGCTAATATTGCATTTAATAAGTTTGTGAGGATTTTAGAAACTGTAGTAAACAGTGACCCTATGATCATGTACGTGAAGCACTGTGGAATGCACATGCTACATAGATACCAACTATTGTTAATTATTAGCCACTAATCAACAGTACCAGTGTCCACTGAGCACTTACAATACCTTTAGCACTTGCTTAGGGAGGCATACGCCAAATAAGCTTATGAGAAGGCACCTGCTGGGGATTAACCAATGGAAAGCGGTAATCGGCCCACTGTGGTAAGGGCCAGTGGGAGTGGCATCTCAAATGCCGTTGGTGGTCAAGGCTGGGGAGGCAGTGAGGAGGAGGAAGGCTATTTAGGGAGAAAGGATCTTCTCCTTGAGGAGACAGTCCTTGAAGATGGGGAGGAGGCAGCTGAACCAAGGAAATGGAACAACAGCACAAGTAAGGAGATGGAGGTGGCAGAGGGCTGGGTGTGCTCCTGGGCTTGATTGAAGTGAAGCCTTCATCGTAGTGAATGTGGTGAGGTAAGCCCACGACCAGATCATGGAGAACATTAAAGGCTGAACAAAGGAGTAGAGAGCTGTTAGAAGAAATAAGATTCTAATGCCAAGACCCTTTCATTCTCAGCAGATGAGCCAGAACCCTCTTTGACAGCTCAGCTGACAAACTCACCTGGAACTGCACCTGTCCCTTCACTCCCTCAGTGACAGCATCTGCGGGTGAACCTGTGCTTTCCACTGTGTGTTAAAATGCCTTCTGGCTTTGACCATTTAAACCATTTGTAGTTTACAATCCAGTGGGCTTGGATTATGTGGAACTACATTCACGACGTTGTACAACCATCACACTATCTGTTTCAAAAATTTCTTATCACTCCAAACACACTCTGTGCCCGTTAAGCAATAACTCCCTATCCCCAGTCCCTGACCCCAGGTAACCTCTCAGCTACTTTCTGACTCTATGCATTTGCCTCTTTTACATGCCTCATGTAAGTGGATCATATGATAGCTGTCCTTTTGTGTCTGGCTTATTTCATGTAGCTGAGTGTTTTCAAGGTTCATCCATGTTGAAGCGTGCGTCACGACTTCACTATTTTTATAGCTCAATAACATATCACATTGTACGGGCATCCCACTAAAACAGCCTTTTAAACGAACTGGCCATAATAGAGGGTAGCCTTTCTCTTGTAATGGTCTTATTTGAAAAGTTAAAAGTTGTCAACCTTATTTCATTTCCCCAGAATTTTTTTGAATCTTTACATTTCAACTGAAGCAAAGTCGGGGGGACTACGCTCCAGTACATGTTGCATCTTTCTGGTTCCTTTTGGCACCATCACAAATGGTTTGTACCACGGATTCAGTTAGGCTCAAAGGATGCTCGCTGATCGCTGTCTTTTCTCCTTATTCATATCTCTGGATAACATGGAATTTTTCATCATGAGAAGTACCTTTCCATTATAGAGCCTTGCACGGAAGTGAAAGGATGCTTTTCTAATGTGATGCAATGGTAAGGCAGAGATGAGGAGAAAAGCATGCTTTACAACCAAATAAGCAGCGGAATGTGAGAAACAGAACAGGAGGCCATGTAGGTTGGCAAAGTAGTGAGTAGTTGGACCCCAAAGAATACTCTGCTCCACAGTGCTCCTAGCCAGCAGTCCTGGTCTGTGGTGAGTTTCTTTATGAGGCCAGGGCTTTCATTAATAAAAGCAAGATCAACATAGAAAGTTTGCAGTATTCCAACTCTGTGAATATGAAAACGGAGGGTCAGGCAGGTGATATATCAAATCTTTAGTCATCTAGGTCTATTTGGAAAATGACTACTAGCTTTTTGTATTTTTCACAATTTTTCTAAGATGGGTCCTAAATCTCTCCTTGTTAGGAATAGTCCTTGTCCTTCCCCTCTCTCTGGATTCTGGGATGAATGAAGACTTAAAAGCTGGGCCAGGCGCAGTGGCTCACACCTGTAATCCCAGCACTTTGGGAGGCTGAGGCGGGTGGATCACGAGGTCAAGAGATCGAGACCATCCTAGTCAACATGGTGAAACCCTGTCTCTAAGAAAAATACAAAAAATTAGCTGGGCATGGTGGTGTGTGCCTGTAATCCCAGCTACTCAGGAGGCTGAGGCAGGAGACTTGCCTGAATCCAGGAGGCGGAGGTTGTGGTGAGCCAAGATCACGCCATTGCACTCCAGCCTGGGTAACAAGAGCGAAACTCCGTCTCAAAAAAAAAAAAAAAGACTTAAGACTTAAAAGCTGTATCTGTTTAACAAAGAATGCAAATGTACAGTGTGGTATGTGCTTGTCCTTGCTCATTGGAGAGGCTGTATGAGGAAAGGTTGCCCAACTCTACAGAAGATTCACCACAACCACATTTCTGGAGCGGCTGGAACCCTGGAGGAAGACCCTGCTGAACTAGGGCAATCCAGTTATTGCAGGTGTGGATTATGACCTGAGAGGAAGTAGAAATGGATGAAGGAAGGAAGACTAGGGGAAGAATACTTTCATGGGAAAAGCTCAGGAGATGTATAGGAACTCCCTCGGAGTTTATCTAGTCTGAGCCGAAGACACTGAGAAGCTAAACATCTTGATTAGTGTCAAAGGTTATGTTTTCCTATTTCTAACACAGAGCTTTTTCTTCCACACCAAGGGAAGAGGCTGGAGTGGGGGTGATCTGGTGAAAGGGCAATGAGTTTGGTTTTGATCTGTCGTATAATAAAAAAACAATTAAGGGCTTTATAAGAGGGCTAAGTTAACCTGGATTTCAACTGTCAGAGTGAGGAAGCTACATTTTTTGTTGTCAATATTAATGTTTCTCCTAATATTACTCACCAGGGAATTTATTTTATTAATGCGGTACTGTTGAGGGCAATGGGAGGAAATGAGATTTAGATTTTTAAATACGTTTCCATATTTATCCTGGTTATGATGTGTTGGAGAGAGATATAGTCAACTTCCAACTCCCAAGCATGTCTAAAGCCTCTTCCTCATCTGCTCACATGTTAGGGTATCTATAAGTCAATGCCTTAGTTTCTTTCATGACATTTTCATGAAACTTCCTCTTTATAGCAGTACCTGCCTAAGGCCATTCAGACTCTAGATGAGCCCAGTAAGAAATTATTTTTTAGTCACGCCTAGTTATCTGAAGATATTGAGGCTCTCTGGGATTAAGGAAATTTTATAATAAATAAAATGAGTCTACTTTCAAATTGTTCCTTCACTAGGCTGTCTGTCAGATCATGGGTATGGTTTGGAGAGAAGGTTGTCTGTTTTTATCAAGGTAAGAGTCTGGGAAAGGGGAAGGGAGAAATGGAGAAAGAAAAGCCAGCACATGGTTACTGACTGCTGACTGCCTGCCCAGCCCTTTTTAGACACTGGCTTATTGAATCTTCACAATAACCCTGGGAGGTAGTCATTTTTTATAGATGAGGTTTTTAGGATCTGAGAGTCACACATTTGAGAGACCCAGGAGATTTCATAACGCACAGAGTGGTCTTATATTATTAGGAATGTTCATGGACAAACATACCTACATCCTTTTCACAATTATTAGGGAGTCCTGCTGAAGTATGATTGTATAGCTAGGATCGTCCAGCACTCTTTCCCCACATGTTTTAAGGATATGCTGAAGAAGAGGGTCTGAAAGGGACTTTTCTTGCCACCATTTGTTGTCTTGTACCTTGGCTTTCTTTTCTTCCTGGCATTGGTACCATCTGGCGTATATTTATTATGTATTTCTCTTACTAGACCCTAGTAAGCTTCATGGGATATGATGTAAGTTCCATGAAATCAGGAACTTTATTCTGTCTAGCTTCTAAAAGAAGGTTGGGCACATCACAGGCCTTTACTCAGTATTTGTTCATGAAAGGCAATGTGAGATGCCTCCTAACATGTGGAAGTTTAGATGTCACCATGGCTCTTGAGTAAAGAACAAAATCAAAAAGCAGACTATTCACATAAAGAGAAATGTAAAAGAATAAGGCCAGATGTGGTGGCTCACACCTATAATCCCAGCACTTTGGAAGGCTGAGGCAGGTGGATCACCTGAGGTCAGGAGTTCGAGACCAGCCTAGCCAACATGGTGAAACCCTGTCTCTAAAAATACAAAACATTAGCTGGGCATAGTGGTGGGTGCCTTTAATACCAGCTACTCACAAGGCTGAAGCAAGAGAATCACTTGATCCTGGGAGGTGGAGGTTGCAGTAAGCTGAGATTGCACCATTGCACTCCAGCCTGGGCAACAAGAGTGAAACTCCATCTCAAAGAAAAAAAAAAAGAATGAATGGGAAGCCTGTAATCCCAGCACTTTGGGAGGCCAAGGCGGGTGGATCATGAGGTCAAGAGATCGAGACCATCCTGGTCAACATGGTGAAACCCCGTCTCTACTAAAAATACAAAAAATTAGCTAGGCATGGTGGCACGTGCCTGTAATCCCAGCTATCAGGAGGCTGAGGCAGGAGAATTGCCTGAACCCAGGAGGCGGAGGTTGCAGTGAGCCGATATCGCGCCATTGCACTCCAGCCTGGGTAACAAGAGTGAAACTCCGTCTCAAAAAAAAAAAAAAAAGAATGAATGGGATGTGGAGAACAGATAAGGGGGGGAAAAAAAAAGGAACAGAGGCAGTCATTCCAAAGTTCTCAATTTGGTGCATAAGAAAATGATTCCTATTTGTTGCAGGTGAAAATGTTTGATGTACCGGCTCCCATACCTCAAAGTTACACTAAGAAGAAATTTAAAAATTGGGATCAAAGATGCAGCTGCTTTCCCATTTAAGCAGCACAGACAGCCCAAAGTGACAGTTTTCCTGTACAGTTACTCTTCTGTTATCTGTAACTGATCTATGACATTTTGGGAAAAGACAGCCAAAAAAAATTAGAACTGAGGTAGGTGTGCCTGATTCCTTTCGCAGTTCTGCTTATGACTGAACCAACAGAACAAACACAGGTGAAACCTGCACAGCTGTGAAAGTCTACAAAAGGGAGCTGTTCACATACAAGATTCTGAAAGGAATTTCTGCTCAATAGCGTTAGTGGGATCACACCGACAAGAATGGGGGCTCTCTGGGAGTCTGGCTTTGGATCTCATTAACATACTCTACTTTGGAGGTATGAGAGGTAAAGGTAAGAGAAGTAAGGCAGACTGGGAACTGTTCCCTGAGTCCCCCTAGCCACCTGTGGCTTGGGGACACTAGTGAGGCCTGACTCTCCAAGAACAGCACTTGGCCCTGGCAGGTGAGTGGCAGCCCTGCACAGGGTCCGGCCATACCTGCCTCAGGGGAGACCACCCATGTCATCTATAGCTTGGCTCCCTCCTGGCTCTCAGGCTGCTGAGCCGTGGAATCTGTTTTCTATGTCCCAGTTTAAAGTCCTCAAGGAGAATGCCAGTAGCATTCAGAGGAAGTGCTGGGATTCAAGAAGAATCATCTCCCTCAGTTTCCTTTAGATGGTGTATTAGTCTGTTCTCATGCTACTAATAAAGACATACCCAAGACTAGGTAATTTATAAAGGAAAGAGGTTTAATTGACTCACAGTTCAGCGTGGCTGGGGAGGCCTCAGGAAACTTACAATCGTGGTGGAAGGGGAAGCAAACATATCCTTCTTCACATAACAGCAGCAAGGAGAAGTGCTGAGCAAAAGGGAGAAAAGCCCCTTATAAAACCATCAGATTGGCCAGGCATAGTGGCTCACGCCTATAATCCAAGCACTTTGTGAGGCCAAGGCAGGTGAATCATCTGAGGTCAGAAGTTCAAGACCAGTCTAGCCAACGTGGTGAAACCCTGTCTCTACTAAAAATACAAAAAAGAAAAAAAAAAGCCAGGTGTGGTGGCAGGCACTGTAATCCCAGCTACTCAGGTGGCTGAGGCAGGAGATGAACCAGGGAGATGAAGGTTGCAGTGAGCTGAGACCATGCCACTGCACTCCAGCCTGGATGACAGAGTAACTCCATCTTAAAAAAATAAAATATCAAATTTTGTGAGAATTCACTCTCACGAGAACAGCATGAGGGTAACCGCTCCCATGATTCAATTACTGCCCATCAGGTCCTTCCCATGACACGTGGGGATTATGGGAACTGTAATTCAAGATGAGATTTGGGTGGGGACCACAGCCAAACCATATCATTCTGCCCTTGGTCCCTCTAAAATCTCATGTCCTCACATTTCAAAACACAATCATGCCTTCCTAACAGTCCCCCAAAGTCTTAACTCATTCCAGCATTAACTCAAAAGTCCAAGTCCAAAGTCTCATCTGAAACAAGGCAAGTCCCTTCCACTTAAAAGCCTGTAAATTGCTTCAGGTAACAGAGGAAAAAAAAAAAAGCCTGTAAAATCAAAAGCAAGTTGGTTACTTCCTAGATACAATGTGGGTACAGACATTGGGTAAACACACCTGTTCCAAATGGAAGAAATTGGCCAGAATAAAGGGGTAGCCAAAATCCAGCAAGTCCAAAATCCAGCAGGGTAGCCAAATCTTAAAGCTCCAAAACGATCTCCTTTGACTCCATGTCTCATAACCAGGTCACACTGGACTCCCATTGTCTTGGGCAGCTTAACCCCTGTGGCTTTGCAAGGTACAGCGCCAGTCCTGGCTGCTTTCACAAGCTGGCATTGAGTGTCTGTGGCTTTTCTGGGTGCACAGTACTAGCTGTTGGTGGATCTATCATTCTGGGGCCTGGTGGGCAGTGGCCCTCTTCTCACAGCTCCAGTAGGCAGTGCCCCAGTGGGGACTCTGTGGGAGGGCTCTGACCCCACATTTCCCTTCTGCACTGCACTAGCAGAGATTCTCTATGTCGGCTCTGCCCCTGCAGTACACCTCTACTTGGAATCCAGGCATTTCCATTCATCTGAAATTTAGGTGGAGGTTCCCAAACCTCACTTACTGACTCAGTTATTGACCCACAGGCCCAATGCCATGTGGCAGATGCCAAGGCTTAGGGCTTGCACCCTATGAAGCAACAGCCTGGGCTGTATGTTGGCCCCTTTTAGCCATGGCGAGCTCGAGCAGCTAGGAAGGAGGACACAAAGTTCCAAGGCCACACACAGCAGCAGGGCTCTGGACCCAGCCCAGGAAACCGTTTTTCCCTCCTAGGCCTCTGGGCCTGTGATGGGAGAGGCTGCCATGAAAACCTCTGTCATGTCCTGGAAACATTTTCCCCATTGTCTTGGTGATTAACATTTGGCTCTTCCTTACTTGTGCAAACTTCTGCAGCTCGCTTGAATTTCTCACCTGAAAATGGAGTTTTCTTTTCTATAACCTCATCAGGCTGCAAATTTTCCAAACTTTTATGCTCTGCTTCTTTTTGGATGCTTTTCTGCTTAGAAATTTCTTCCACCAGTTATCCTAAATTGTCTCTCTCAAGTTCAAAGTTCCACAGATCTCTAGGGCAGAGGCAAAATACCACCAGTCTCTCTGCATAGCAAGAGTGACCTTTACTCCAGTTCCCTACAAGTTCCTCATCCCCATCTGAGAGCACCTCAGCCTGGACTTCATTGTCTGTATCACTGTCAGCACTTTGGTCAAAGTCATTCAACAAGTCTCTAGGAAGTTCAGACTATCCCACATTTTCCTGTCTTCTGAGCCCTCCCATTAGTTCCAATCTCTGCCTGTTACCTAGTTCCAAAGTTGCTTTCACATTCTCGGGTATCTTTACAGCAGCACCCCACTCTCTGCAGTACCAATTTGCTGCTCTAACACTGCTAATAAAGACATACCTGAGACTGGGTAATTTATAAAGGAAAGAGGTTTGACTCACAGTTCAACATGGCTGGGGAGGCCTCCGGAAACTTATAATCATGGTGTAAGGGGAAGCAAACACATCCTTCACACTGTGGCAGCAAGGAGAAGTGCTGAGCAAAAGGGGGAAAAGCCCTTTAAAACCATCAGATCTCATGAGAACTCACTATCACTAGAACAGCATGAGGGTAACTGTCACCATGATTCAATTACCTCCCACCAGGTCCCTCCCATGACAAGTGGGAATTATGGGAACTACAATTCAAGATGAGATTTGAGTGGGGACACAGACAAACCATGTCATGGGGCAAACTGAATCTAAGGTTTGGGTAAAATTCTCATTGTACAAAAATGAGTAAACTGAAATTCTCACACAGCTTGGGGCCCTATAAAAAGTTTGCTAGCTGGGCATGATGGCTCATACATATAATCCCAGAACTTTGGGAGGTCGAGTGGGGAAGATCACGAGACAGGATTTTGAGACCAGCCTGACCAATATGGTGAAACTCCGTCTCTACTAAAATACAAAATTTAGCCGGGTGTGGTGGCGCATGCCTATAATCCCAGCTACTTAGGAAGCTGAGTCAGGAGAATCACTTGAACCCTGGATGCGAAGGTTGCAGTGAGCCAAGATCACGGCATTGCACTCCAGCTTTGGGCAACAGAGTAAGGCTGTGTCTGGTCAGCGGGGAGGAGGGGGAAGAAAAGAAAAAAAGAGTTTGCATAATTAGGCCAAAAAATTCAAGAGCCGTGAATACATTCACAGGTGTTTACTGAGCATCTCCCATGCACCTGGGATTCTTCTAGATGCTCAGAATGGAGCAGCAGACAAAGGAGACTAAAATCCCTGCCTTCGTGGAACATGAATTCTGTAAGAGAAAAGACATTTCGAAAGGAAAGAAGGCAATTTTAGCATCTGCTCTGCTCCGCTCTCTCAAAAAATAAGCAAGGAGTTCACAGGTATGCCACTGGAGGTATATATCCCCTGGAAGAGTCCACCAATGCACAAGATGTAGGCATAAGGAAGGTCACTAAAATTTGTTCATGACAGGGAAAATTGCAAACAAGTATCACTAGAGAAAATACCTAAATCAAGGTGGTTATTTTATAGCGCTCAACACAGCGGTTTAGCGTGCAGCTCTGGGGCCAGAAGCCTAGGTTTTAATCTAGCTCTACCACTTGTTGGCCTTAATCTCTTTGTAACACAGGATTGGGGATTAGTAGTAGTACTTATCTCCCAGGTCTATTTGAGCATTACATAAAAAATGTAGAGCCTCTAGAATAGTGGCTAGCACACAATAAGCACTTAATAAACATTTGCTATATTTATTATTTTGTTGATAATGGAGTGTTATGTAGCAGTTAGAGAAAATAGACTAAGTCTATGTATCACATGAATAGATCTAAAAAATATAATGCAACTTCATGTTTTAATTCAACAAATATTTATTGAGTGTCTATATGTTCCACACAGTGTTCTAGGTACTTGGGACTCATCAGTGAACAAAACAAAGATCCTGCCCTTGTGGACCTTATGAGCCAGAGGTAGGGAAATGGATGTAACTGCTAAGGAAACCGTATGATAATGCAGGTGGTGACAAGTGCTGTTGAAAGGGGAGAGAAAGCATGGTAAAGGTGTCTAAGAATGCCAGAGTTAAGGCGGGCATTATGCCAGAGTTAAGGCGGGCATTATGCCAGAGTTAAGGCGGGCATTGGTTGGATTTTAAGCCGAGAAAACAAGTATGAGAAAATGTTCATGATTATGACCTCTAGGTGGTGGGTATGCAGCTGCTTGTTTTATTATTTCTTTTGTCTTTGTCTGTATTTACATTTTTTTCTAAAAAATTCCTCTCTATGATATAAAAGATTAAAGAAAAACTCCTGATTAGGAGTCTGAAATACGAAGGGAGTTGGTTAAGAAGCAGGAAATTAGGCCGGGCGTGATGGCTCATGCTTGTATCCCAGCAGTTTGGGAGGCCAAGGCAGGCAGATCATGGGGTCAAGAGATCGAGATCATCCTGGCCAACACGGTGAAACCCCCGTCTCTACGAAAAATACAAAAATTAGCTGTGTGTGGTGGTGGGTGCTTGTAATCCTAGTTATTTGGGAGGCTGAGGCAAGAGAATCGCTTGAACCTGGGAGACGGATGCTGCAGTGAGCCGAGATTTTGCCAGTGCACTCTAGCCTGGGCAACACAGTGAGACTCTCAAAAAAAAGGAGAAAATTGAAAAGGAATTAAATGATATATAAAAGAATCTAAAGTAAGTGTTGGAGTTTTACAGTCTATTAGAGATAAGCAGAGTCGGCTGGGTGCGGTGGCTCATGCCTGTAATCCCAGCACTTTGGGAGGCGGAGAGGGGTAGATCACCTGAGGTCAGGAGTTCAAGACCAGCCTGGCCAACATGGTAACACCCCATCTCTATATTAAAAAAAAAAGAGAGATAAGCAGAGTCACAATGCAGAAAATCAAACAATAATGTCAAAGACAGATGTGAAAATAAATATAGCCAAAAATAAACAGTAAATAAAACCAAAGCAACAAGTAAAGATATAATAGAACACATTTGAAGACTTAGAAGTGATAAAAAATAAATTCAATATCTAGATATATCCTGGAAAGACTGTTGCAAAAGCTGTTGTTAACTACCCTTTATTCTTTAGCAAGCCCACTTTGTAGGGCGTGGCAGTGTGCCCAACTATGAATTAGTTTTCAAGGCTCCCTTACCTCTTGCTGTGTGGAACATGGATGTGCAGGCTGGCGCTGCAGTGGCCACTGGGGGGCCCTCTGAAGAATGGAAGCCTCTTATTAAAAAAGACGCTGGACTCTTGGGTCCATGTTGATCATGGGGTTGTGACACCAGCCCTGGATTCTATCTCTGGATTTTTTTTTTTTTGAGACGGAGTTTCGCTCTTATTACCCAGGCTGGAGTGCAATGGTGCGATCTCGGCTCACCGCAACCTCCGCCTCCTGGGTTCAAGCAATTCTCTTGCCTCAGCTTCCTGAGTAGCTGGGATTACAGGCACGCACCACCATGCCCAGCTAATTTTTGTATTTTTAGTAGAGACGGGGTTTCACCTTGTTGACCAGGATGGTCTCGATCTCTTGACCTGGTGATCCACCCGCCTCTGCCTCCCAAAGTGCTGGGATTATAGGAGTGAGCCACCGCGCCCGGCCTATCTCTGGATTTTACACACAAGATATATACCTTTTAATTTTATTTAAGATACTGCTAGAAATTCACTAACTGGGATTTCTGGTCAATGCATGCTAACCCACTTTGAACTGAAATCTAAATTCAAAATATTAATGTCTGTGGGAAAAATCTTGTAGTTCAGTAATTCTCATCTAGCCTGTTGTCTTTCATAAAGACAATAGATGGCGGGGCGCGGTGGCTCACGCCTGTAATCCCAGCACTTTGGGAGGCCGAGGCGGGTGGATCACGAGGTCAAGAGATCAAGACCCTCCTGGTCAACATGGTGAAACCCCATCTCTACTAAAAATACAAAAAATTAGCTGGGCACGGTGGCGCGTGCCTGTAATCCCAGCTACTCAGGAGGCTGAGGCAGGAGAATTGCCTGAACCCAGGAGGCGGAGGTTGTGGTGAGCCGGGGTCGCGCCATTGCACTCCAGCCTGGGTAACAAGAGCGAAACTCCGTCTCAAAAAAAACAAAAAACAAAAACAGAAAGGCTTTCTCAGATCCCCAAGAGCTCACAAAGTATAAAACATCCATGTGCCCGGGCTGAATAGAGCTGAGGTAAAGTTCTGGCAGCACTACTTGCAAACGGTAGTAACTCAGACCAGTTTTTAAGCTCTTGAAGCCCTAGTTTCTTTATCTGTAAACGAAGTAAAAGTAAAATGGTTTACTTCATAGAATTGTTATAAACGTTAAGGAGGGATAATACATGGCAGGCTCTTTGTTCACTGCTTAATACTCTTTAAAAAAATAATAAAACTTACTGGAACAACCAATCTTAGCCAATCATGAGGGGAATCAAAAACAAGAAGGGGATATCCTTTTATTTGACATTATTTAGAAATGTCTCTCCAATAGAATAAGAGATGAAAATAAATTAGAAGTATAAATTTTATAAAGGAAAGATTCTCAACTGCTAAATATAATCAAGAAAATAAGAAAATATTGGAACAGAAGATAATGAAGATCTTACACATCAAGCTTAATGGAACAACACAGAAAGTCCAGCGACAGGCCCAGTAACTATAAATCGTAGAAAATAATGAAAAGTATTTCAGAACAATGGAGAGAGGATGCGTTACTCAGTCAATGGTTTTGGGATGACCAGGTTACCAGGTAGAAAAAGATGATGTTAGATAAGAACAAGTGCCACATACCAACATACAATTTTAGATGGATCAAAGAGAAAAATAATAGAACATGGATCAATTTACACAATCTTGGGGTGGGAAAGACCATTCTAAATTACCATCAAAGCATAAATTCCAAAATAAAACATGAATACATGTGACTACACAAATTTTAAAATTTAGACTTTTTTTTTTTTTGAGATGAAATCTTCCTCTGTCGCCCAGATGAGCATCACTGCTCCTGGCTAATTTTTGCATCCACCACCATGCGTGGATAACTTTTTTGTGTTTTTAGTAGAGACAGGTTTTCACCATGTTGGCCAGGCTAGTCTCAAACTCCTGACCTCAAGTGATCTGCCCACCTCGGCCTCCCAAACAGCTGGGATTACAAGTATGAGCCACCGTGCCTGGCTAAAATTTAGACTTTTATGTTAGAGATTATTATAAACAAAATTAAAAAGCAATTTCTGCACATAATAAAAAATTGACATTCAGTAAGAAAGATAAACCTCCTAATAAGCAGGCTTTTTTCAGCAGACAAAGGATGTGAAAGTGCAGTTCACAAAATAACATCTCTAAATGACCAACACATGTGAAATATTTAATCTTGCTGGTAATCAAAGACGTAGGGACAAACTAAATGGCTAAACCTAGACCACTGGTTAACCATTATATTATTAGTTAAGCATTACATTATGGCATATCCGTAGGAATAAGTATGCCATATCATTAAAAATCATCATAGAAGAATATTTTATGAGGTGAGAAATAATTTGCTATGAGAAAAAAAGCTTGGTTAGGCCGGGCACGGTGGCTCACGCCTGTAATCCCAGCATTTTGGGAGGCCAAGTGGGTGAATCACCTGAGGTCAGGAGTTCAAGACCACCCTGGTCAATATGGCAAAACACCATCTCTACTAAAAATACAAAAATTAGCTGGGCGTGTATGGCACCCGCCTGGAATCCCAGCTACTCAGGAGGCTGAGGCAGGAGAATTGCTTGAACCCTGGAGGCGGAGGTTGCAGTGAGCTGAGTTCATGCCACTTGCACTCCAGCCTGGGCGACAGAGTGAGATTCTGTCTCAAAAAAAAAAAAAAAGCTTGGTGAAAACTTGGTCTATTCTACATGTTTCTCTTCTTGTAACAAGAGATAAAATTAAAAGAAATCCTACATATATAAATACATATATACATATATTTCCAGTCCTGGAAAGAAGACCAAAATGTTAATAAATATTTGTAGATGGGGGAATATAGGCACCACCCTCCTTTTTTGCACTTCTTTTTTTTTTGTGATCAGAGAAGTAGAGAAAAGACATCAGCAGTTCTAAAACATGGGCTCAGTTTTGTCCCACATATTAGTTAATATTACAAAGGAAGTAAGATGCCTTTTCAGTAGAGAGGTCTGGCAAACACCACCCTTTAGCCAAATGACCCAACTTAGCATTGAACCTAGCACGGTGGGACAGACTGTCACTTATGTGCAATCAGAAGTATACAAACATCACCTCTGTACTTTGCTTCTAAAAAACGTTTAATCTGGATTTAATCACCAGGAAACAACCACACAAACTCAGAAGGTAGAATATTCTCATGCCAACTAGAGAAATCACAAGAGCATGAGGATAGTTCAAGCTGAAAAGACGTTAACCAGACATAATAACCAAATGCAGCCTGGGTGTGGTGGCTCATACCTGTAATCCCAGCACTTTGGGAGGCCGAGGCGGGTGGATCACGAGGTCAAGAGATCGAGACCATCCTGGTCAACATGGTGAAACCCAGTCTCTACTAAAAATACAAAAAATTAGCTGGGCGTGGTGGCGCATGCCTGTAATCCCAGCTACTCGGGAGGCTGAGGCAGGAGAATTGCCTGAACTCAGGAGGCGGAGGTTGTGGTGAGCCGAGATCACACCATTGCACTCCAGCCTGGGTAACAAGAGCGAAACTCCGTCTCAAAAAAAAAACACACAAAAAAACAAATGCAGTACTTGAAACTTATGAAAGATATTCTTGAGAGCATTGGGGAAATTTTAAAAATTTAAATTAAAAAATTCAACATTATGCGGGGAGTGGTGGCTCAGGCCTATAATCCCAGCACTTTGGGAGGCTGAGACTGGTGGATCACCTAAGGTCAGGAGTTTGAGACCAGTCTGATCAACATGGCAAAATCCCATCTCTACTAAAAATACAAAAAAATTATCCAGGCATGGTGGTGTGTGCCT